TGGAATTACACAGGAATGGTACTGAAACAATGTGGTCATGGTTGCAGGCCATAATCAATCTAATACTTTTTCTCCTACAAAGCTGGTGTAAGAATGTCTGACTGTCTGAAATTACTCCTGATATTTTCTACGAGAAGGCAAAATCAGATTATGCAAAGAACTCAGAAGCAGATTTCAAGGTTTAAGCCCATCTCTGATAAATGTAGCATACAGTCTAGGTGAAGCTGGCTTAACGTTCTTTGGATAGGTGTCTAATGTTTGTCAGTGCCACACAGAAGGGTTTCCACGGAATACACTCGCTGTGACCCTGTGATAGTACAGGACCTTTCAAGGTTATTAGTCCGTAGTTTTTACAGGATTAGCTGCCCCAAGAAGCATGGAATGACTTCCTAATGCTGGCTTCCCACGTATGAAATACTCCACACCCTCTCAGACTTCAAAAATCAGCAAGAGGAGGGGGTGCTGAGGAGCTGCCTTCCATCAGTTACAGTATTGAAAAACTTAGAGTAGTTACTTGCGTGCCATCTGCATAACTGTAAAGCAGATTAAATTTGTAACTGTAAATTAAATTTGTTCCAGGAGCTGTTATTTGTGGAAGAAGAGTTGTGTTCTATTCACAATTAAGTTGTTTCTTTATTAGACTGAACAAAATATACCTACGTATATGGAGGAGTATATACTCCTCCCAAAATGCAAATACCATCGGCCAGTTTCTGAGGAAGGAAGAGCAACCTCTGTTTACCTGTTCGTTTGCTAAAATCCCCCAAACCCCACCTTTCTAGACTCTCTGAATCTATCTGGGACTGAAGCCAAAGTCATCTACTATATAAGACTGTCAGAGCACAGGTGAGCTACTCCTCCTGACCAACTTGAGACCAAACATCCGTGTGCCAGGCTCCACTCAAGATGGGGTTTGGCAGGGGGATATGGGTACCAGAATGGGCTTTCCTGTTAGCAGTTTGCTGTATCCATCAGATAGGTAAGAAGTTCTCTTTTTTATTGGGAAAATTAAAAAAGACTCTGTTTAGATCTAGTAATATATTTTAAACAACTATACTCATTGTTTCATTTAACAGTTGCTTTTAAAAAGATTTTTTTTTCAGTTTTTCATTAAATATTTAATGTCTGTTTATTAACTGGACTGATTTAATTTAATATTGCTTCAAACTACTGCATATAACTACATTTGGAAGGTAGCCTTGAAGATCAACTCAAAAAGAACCATTATTCATGTCTTAAAATAACAGTTTTTCAGTATCACTTATGCCTCACAAAAGCATTTTATTCCTGTTGCATTTTGTATTAGGATTGATTATGAATTTCATGGGGTTTATGAAATTTAAACCACTACATTTCCCAGTTGCTAGATCAGACCACGGGTCAACCTTTTCCAGTACCTTGTCACCTACCAGGAGCTAATACCAGATTCCTTGCAACTTATTTTGCTAAAGAGACTGGAAGGGAATATTCATGTGGCAATGATTTTCAGTAACTAATTGTGCACTGATAATACCCTATGAAAAATATTTATTTGAATTCCTGATACGGAGTGTAAGCAGGACTGGGAGATTTATCTGACACATGCAATCCATCATTTTGTATAGAGTTTTTTCTCCTGTCAATGTTATATCCATCAGATCTGCCTTGGCAGTTTTTGTTAACATGCACAGCCCTATTAAGTCAATGGGACCACTCAAATTGAAATTACTTGCATGAATACAAGCTTGCCAAGTCAGTCTCATTCATGTACAGTAATTATTGCCCTGTCAGTGAACATTTTTAAATCATAGAATCACAGAATGGTTTGGGCTGGAAGGGACCTTAAAGATCACCTAGTTCCAGCCCCCTGCCATGGGCAGGGACACCTCCCACCAGACCCAGTTGCTCCCAGCCCCATCCAGCCTGGCCTTGAGCAATCCCAGGGAGGGGGAACCCACAGCTTCTCTGGGCAACCTCTTCCAGTGCCTCACCCCCATCACAGTAAAGAACTTCTTCCTAATATCTGATCTAAATCTCCCCTCTTTCAGTTTGAAACCGTTACCCCTTGTCCCATCACTACTGTCCCTGATAAGAGTCCCTTTCCTGTAAGCCCCCTTTATGTAAATTTAGCTTGCATATCATTTTCAAAACATTGACAACTACAAATATCATTTTAGGCTACTTTCTAGTTTGTGAAACAACACTAAAATGCTGGCAAGTTGATTTAAGCACAAAACAAAAGAGTCACTTATGAGTCTAAGCTTACATTTAGATTTATGCAACGTCAGTCAAAAGCATCTTCAGCCATTCATTGAACGAGGAAGTTATTTGTACTATGCAATGCTAATCTGATAAATTGCTTTGAAAAGTGAGTAGTCGTTAGACAGTGTCCAGCAAACTCTGCTTTATTTGAATTACACTCTGTGGAAGGTATTTTCAGATGTCCTGAGAGACTAAAAAAAATTGGCCAAATCCCATGCCACCTCCCCAAACATTCTGTGCTTGACTTTATATTTTGGGTCAAATACTAACTTTTATAAATTGATTGTGACAATAATTGCATATGCGGATTGGCAGCTGGATATAGACTTAGAAAGGTGCATCCAGAAATATTTTTAATAATTAGGTCAATTCCCAAATTATCTGATAGTAAATTATCTTGACTGTTCTTACAACCGAGAGACACCTATTAATGATCAACAATGTGGCATTGTGCAATTGCTAAGTAAACCAATGCAGCTAGAATTTCCTTGGGAATGATGTATTTGCTAAGTAAACAAAAGCCCCTGCAGTTTCCTTGAGAAAAATTAACAGACCAAAATACACGTATATACTATTTTGCTCTGTTGCAAAGGTTCTCATGCTAGAATAAACAAACATTCTATGATTCTGTGCCTGCTGAGATTCCTATAGATCTATCGAGTGAGAGCAAATCCCAGCCTATTATTAAGAATTACAGAGGCATTTGTCTCACCTAATCAGTATCAATTATAGTGATACAAATGCATTTACCTAATGATGTTATCTGTGATACGGAAAGACTAACAGGAAATGGAAAATGGTTAAACTCTGTCTTAAGTTACTTCTTTACATATCACTAGTGGTCGGGCATAAAGTTAAATGAGAAAAGAATTAAAAGAACTTAGGTCTCAAAGAAACTGCAAACATTGCAGCAGCTTCTAGGTATGATGAGAGATGCCCAGAAACCTCTCCAACAAAGCCAGCAGTCTCTTGGGGACCTCTTTGGGAGTGGGGGCTTGAATCTGTTCAGACAGGCGTCCTTCAGCTCTGGGATGAAGTACTCAATCTGCTTACATGGTGGGCCCAGACAGAAAGTCAGAAAAACAACAACAACAAAAAAGGTGCTCTTGATCTGGTTATTTTTAAGGCAAAGCTAGTTGTCCAGCTTTCATGGAGGTACCTGGGCTGAGGTTCTTACGTGGAGGAAACACTCAGCAAGGAATGTAAGCACCAAAGGGGACTGGCGTTTATGGCACACTGCTGACTTCAGCATTTCCCCATCTTCCACCAGTGTGGCCCCCTGCTCAGTGAGATGGGTGTTAGGGATCTAGTTCTGAGACAGTGAACTCTTCCCATCTATTCTACAAGGAAAAAGGGGGTTTAACTTAGGACTAGATTACATAGGCAGTTCCTCTTTGACTGAGAAATTCTCTAGACACCCAGAGTGCTCATTCACATAACCCTGATTAGGATTCAAATATTAGTCATTTCATCACCTAAATCTTTTGAGGATATAGACTTTGCAGGTTATAAGTACATGTTAGTCAACATGTTCCAAGCATGGTTATCACATGCTGACAGGATTCAGTCCTTCACAAAATAAAGTCATAGCCATTTTTCTTTCACAGGAAACCCCTGCCATACTTACTTATAACAGACAAGAGCCTAGAGCACCAACTGGGGAGCTCAGGGTCAGTCTTTTTCTAGGCATGAAAGAGTTCAGGTCAATATTTGTTATCTCTTGCAAGTTTTTGCCAATACCTACTCTGGTATGGTATTGCTGGGCCATGCATGGAAAGGAATTCAAAACTTACGGAGTCATCACAGAGAGCAGGAGAACTCATCTGGAAGGAAGTTCATGTAGGTGATCCAGTAACTATTTAAGTGGAGGTACAAAAATAATCCTTAGAGCAAGGTATAAGAATAGGACAGTTTGATGAAGCTGAGTGCCCTAATCATGTGGTCACATGATCATGGCCTATTTATTCCTTTTTGTCACTGTCCTACTGTTTTCGGCACCGTGTCTCAGCTTCAGGTGGCATCAGATAGACTTACAGTACGATGCTCAAGGTTTTCTGCAGAGAAGATGTGAGTTTGAACCACCTCAGAGTGAGACGAGAGGTAGAACAGGAAACCTGGTCCTTTTGGTTACTTCTCCTGGGTTACTGCTCAGGTCATGGGCCCTAGGATATCACTTCTTGCAGCCAGCTGTAAAGCAAATCTAGATCCCTGACTGAGGCTCTGGATTTGCTCCAGGAGAAAAGGCCTATGCTTAGGCACTAAAGAAACTGGCATGTAAGTATCTGCAGCCATTATTGGGTCAAGCCCTAAGACCCTTGTTTCTTTCCACCAGTGCTGTGCCTTTTGTTATTACTACCTAGTTGCTACACAGCAATTTTAATAAATTACTTTCTTATATTTTGTCTATTCTTCCTGTAATTGTTTCACATATTAGGGAGATTTAGTGCAGCAGTGAAATAGCAGCTGTGATCCACTAGTTAGAGACCCTTATAGTGGGTTTTAAGGGAAACAAAGAAAGCGGATATACATGAAATGTTATCTGTGTTTCAAACTCTGTGTATTTGTAATAGAAAGTCTCCTTCTATAATTACATTTTACCTTTTTTGAGGGCCTGCTTAATTTTTTCTGATGTGATAAAGGACTCTCCCCTTTGTCATACAGAGATATACTTGGGTCCTTTGATCCTATCTAAACACTTTCGTTTAAAAGTTCAGATACAGGACATTGTACTTAATATGCTTTTTACGTTGTCTTCACAGGAGCCCAGAGTAAAACCCAACAGGAAACAGAAAGCAAATACGCTGAGGCTGTTCAGCAGAAACAAAACAGTGCGTTCATTTAGACCATGTATTTGTATTTATGTGCTACATCTCTACTAAATAATAAACTGCCTAAAAACCTCCCTTAACGTATTGCCTGTAATGTCAAATAAAACTAAATGTGTATTAACAAGCCTCTCTCTGTATAAGAATAGTAATGTATTTATTAATTACCAACTAAACACACAGTATCGTTGTATGTGAATAATAATAGGTAACTAAGAAAACAGACGTGTGTTTGTAGTCGCTGTATGCATATGTGCATGAATATGTATATGTAAAATCAAAGTGGACTATACGTGCAGGATGTTTGATTCCTTATAAACAAGGAAATGAGACCACTTTGGCAAGCTGTAAAGTCAGCAGCTGATGTTGGGAAATCAAGATGGCAACTCAGCTTCATTGATTTTTACCATGTAATGATTTATGACCATCCTGTACAATGGATTTGTGGTAATTTCTATGGGTTTTCAGCCGCTTAACTGAAAAATATTAAACACAGAGCAAAGGGGACAATTAAAGTTTTTGTTCTCTCCTTAGAAAGAGGAGGTGCAATGAGAAGGTAACTATGGTTTTGTACCAGTAACAGACTAATTTAGTACAGCTTTAACCCTTTGTATTGTTCGGTGTGCCTGAAGCACTCCAATATGCAGAGCTGTGAATTTCTGCCTCTCCTACCACAATACAGAGTTTCATAAAAGAATCAAAATTAAAAGGTAGAAAACGCAGATCATCACAGTTGAAAGCAATTTATTATGATTTAACTATCCTGATTTTGAATTTTAGCATGCACTTTTAACCTGATCCATGGCCTGTGTAAAACAAAACAGACTTAACATTGTTTCATTGGATCTGGCATATTAACTTTCTAGTCCTTTCTAGGTCAATTTTAGTTGCAAATTTTGGTATTATTATACTAGGTTTTGTTTTCTTTCTTACTTTATTCTAGCTTCTGCTGCAGTTTCATCTAAGATCAACATCATACCCCCAATGCTGACAAAGCCAGTAGTAACTCGTAAGTAAAGGAAATAAAATGTAATAAGTTTTCAATTTCGCGGGATGTAGACGGGAATCTAATACAAATAGGGAAAGTCATTGGTAAAGGAAGTCATGGATATTAAGAGGAGAAAGAGGGTGATTAAGAAACATAATATTGAACTGGACAACTAGTAAAGCTCTAGCTGAACGTAACTATAACCATTTACAGGGGTATATATATATATAAGTTAAGTAACAGATACAAGATGAATGAAGAATGAATACACAGTTTTATGGACGGACAGAAAATAATAAATGGAGGTAGGTGGGTGAAAACTATTCAGTGACAAAATGAAGCCTTGGAGAAGTTGATTTTCACTATGTTAAGGCTGGGAATTTTAAGTCATTTTTTTACAGCTAGTTTTAATCCACAGCTTCCAATCCTGCTCACAATGGCCGTGTGTGCAGCACGTGGGGCAACTTTCACTTCAAGACCTTTGATGGAGACATCTTTTACTTCCCTGGGCTCTGTAATTATGTTTTTGCATCCCATTGCAACGCTCCCTATGAGGATTTCAACATCCAGATTAGGCGCGTAGTGGTGGAAAGTGCTCCGACAATCAACCGTATCACCATGAAACTTGAAGGTGTCGCTGTTGAACTGACAAAGGATGTTGTCATGATCAACAGCAACAGGTGAGTTTAGACACAACACTTGTTTGGTAACCACAGACATTTTTTTCAAACTTGCCAAGTACTTTGGTGTATTTGGGGGGAAAAATTATGTGTTCTTCAATAAAACTGACAATTTTACCAACATAAATAATAAGTTGCTCTTAATTCCTTTCACAGTAAATCAATCCTTCCCTTAAAGATTACCTCAAAAATAAAATCGGGATGAAAAATCCTGAGAGATTGGATTCAAATCCAGATCCATATTTGATGATATTGGACTATCTTATTTTTTAGTCACTTTTCTTTCCACACAACTGCATTATTTTAGAATTCCTGCAGGTGCTGAATACCACAAGACATTTTTTTTCTCATTATCAAACATCTGGATCAGAAAATACCTAGCATTCTTTCTGCCTTTTCCCAGAGTTCAACTGCCATACAGCCAATCTGGAATTACGATAGAAAAAAGCAGCATTTATGTGAAAGTTGACAGCAAAATGGGTGTTGCATTAATGTGGAATGAAGATGACAGTATCCTGGTAAGAACTGCTCCTGGTCCTGTCTACACCTTCAGAGACCAGAACTAATCTTTGATTAGGCCAGTCTCTGTCTGTTTAGAGGGTTACTATTGCCTTCTCGTCTCATACTGTTGAGGAATTCTTTCTTAATAAAGATAGGTTTGCATGGATTTATGTCTAGTGTATAGCAGACATCTACTTAAAATAGGGTGAAAAATCACTTTCATTATATCATTAACATATCGGTATTGTTACAGGGCTGACTTACCCCTTCAAATATCATTTTCTAGCAGAATTCCACTCTCTTAGGACTTCATTTTTGCTGTGGATTTGGTTTTCTTTCTGAAGAATGAATAGAGAGAAAGAGGCTGAAAGCAATATAGATATTACAGTGAAAACTTAAGTCTACATCAATAGCATTAATAGCCTGGACTTTAAATAAAATTACAGAGATCTGATGAAAAAATACTTAAAGGCAGCAGGTGCAGGTGCTTTCAGTGGTCTGGAATATATTTTAAAATGTTTATACTAATTTCTGTCAACTTACTTTCCATCATTTTAGCTAGAATTGAATGAGAAATATGCCAATCAGACCTGTGGACTTTGTGGGGACTTCAATGGCCTTCCAATTTACAATGAGTTCTATTCAAACAGTAAGCTTTTTAAATAATAAAAATTGGTTTCTAAAGTCTCTAATATGCTTTTTTTGTATTCTTTTAACTCTAACATCATCAGCATTCCCCTTTCCTATCCAGTTAAATGATTCACCCAGAAGATATGATTCAATCTCTGATGGAAAATATGTAGTACAGAGATCAGATAATGTGATTTAATACTTAAGCGTACTACTGGTGCTAACAAGTCATGTATGCCATGGTTTTATTTACCTAATCAGCTAAACCCCCAAAATGAGCCAGATTTTCACTAATAACATAAATAAATGTAGAAATATATTCCATAAAACAAAAGGCAATTGTATTGCCTAGTCAGTACATTTATTGTTTCAGTTCTGTCTACTGAAATGCATAATCTTTTTAACCTCTTCATCATTCTGTCTGTTCCCAGCTTGAGCTTTTTCCTGAACCTTGTCTCACAGCAGTCTCCATTGCCCAAATCACTGTTTAGACTCTTTTCTCTGTTTTCTTCATGGGCTCAATATAATGTGAAAGCAATTTATTCTTTTTCTGGTAAAAATCTTAGTTTGTGTCTAGATGTAATAGGCTGAGAACTGTTTTCTAATGTTTACTTTTTCAGGGTGCTGCGCAAAGTAGATTGAGCCAGTGATGTAGTGCTTCCTTTGGAAAGGGTGATGACTAAATTTAAAGACTTAAGGGAACTAGCTGCCTTAGCCAGTCTTGAGCAGAATTCTTGAGAGGAGAAAAAGAGAACAGGCAGTTGCGTTGAACAAAAAAAAAACCCAGCCTTCATTATTAAACTTCTTTTGTACAGATATTAAGATGACAGCCCTGCAGTTTGGGAATATGCAGAAAATGGATGGGCCAACAGAACACTGTGAAGACTCCACTTCTACCCTGCCAGATAATTGCACTGATAATTTTGTAAGGATCTTTTGACTATTCTTTTATTTTTCTTTCAAATTTTTCTATATCCTTCTACAACTTCAAGAGGTCAAAGGCCTTGGGTGACAGCAACTTAAAGAGGAACATAAGATTCTATTAAAGAATAATTATACAAAGTAGCAATACCAAAAACGGTTCCCTTCTATTTTCTGAATGTTGTTTGATTTTTTTTTCTCCCAAGGATGACATATGCCAGAAAACATTGACCAGCTCTGCATTTGCAGAGTGTAACGACTTAGTTGATGTTAGAGAGTACATTACGGCTTGCCAAGATGACTTGTGCCACTCTGAAGAGTGTAGAAACACCTCATGTATCTGCGACACCTTTGCTGAATACTCCCGGCAGTGTGCTCATGCTGGCGGGCATCCTCTGAACTGGAGGACCTCAGAACTGTGCCGTGAGTATCCCTGGAAATAGCCTTACTTTACACTCAGTAACTAACAAACAACGAGCTCTCAAATGATGCTGAGGATGCGTGAGAAATTACAGGCCATTTGAGATCGTATTCTCCAGAGGGTTCCGATGTACAAGTTTTGGCATGAAGACTTCAGCAAAAGAGCTGAGGGGTTTAATGCAAACGGGGTTAAACACTTACACGGATACTCTAATTGAGAGACAAAGTGTTATTTAATTAACTGGGACAGGAAGGGAAGCAAATAAAGAATAAGCCATACTTTCTTGCTTGGTTTCCTGTTTCTCTCCTTTTCTTATGGTGGCTAAAGCATTTTTTATTCTTAATAATTAACTGATTGGGTCTTCACAGGTGTTTGTCTGGTTAAACACTTTTTTATCTCCACTTGCTTGGTAGCGAGAAGTTTGCACCACTGTAATCGTCATAAAGATTTGCGCTGAACTAAACACATACTAGATTATGGGGTGTAGCTGTTGATACTGTCACCAGCATTGGCTTCAGAACAAAAGCCTGTGAGGTACTATTTGCCCTTCCAATGGTATCTGAAAAATGCAAATATACTAAAGCTTTAGGAATTTAAGTCTTACATCTCACTAGCAATACAGGTGTTCATGAGAAGCCTGCCTTCAATAGAAACACAGGCCTTGCTGACTTTCTGGGGTCACTACCTTGCTGCCCACAGAAATCCTGTCACTGAGCCAGTTCAGCAGCAGACAGTCATGGCAAACACATCTCAACTGTAAAATGTGGGTGGCTAAATTCGCAAATTTTGAGACCTGACAGTCGATTTGCAGTTAAGTGTGGGTTTATATCCAGCTAAAAAACTTAAATGAATATAAATATTGTCATATACAGTGAACTAGAAATACTTTTGACTGAAAAAAAAAAAAATCTCCTTTAAAATTTCAGCCAAGAAGTGCCCTTACAACATGCAGTACCAGGAGTGCAGCTCCCCCTGTGCTGACACATGCACCAATCCTGAACGGACTCAGTTTTGTGAAGAACACTGTATGGATGGTTGTTTCTGCCCCCCAGGCAAGTTCTTATGTACTCACATCTCTGATCTCAAAGAACGCCAACAGCTTACCTGTAGGATTTGGGCAGGTTCCATGGGGTTTAAGCCTCCTATATTTGCATTTTTCACAGCTGCGAGTGACAAGCATTTGTCACATCTCAACTGAGAAAAGGTAACTGAATTAATTGCCAATACATGTGCAATGCTTAGCAAGCAGGAAAGCAGAACAGCAAACAGATCAAGACTAGTTTCTCCGCAAGGCACCTGTGCTACAGTAAGTCCCTCTTTCAAAGCAGGTGGAATTTAAGAATACGAAGGTTGAATCCTTCACTGTGCACACTGGTGTAGTCCTACTGTCCTCAGCATAGGTATGTCCATTCACAACAGCTGCAGATCTGTATCTGAGGTGATATTTAGGATTTGTAATAAAATAAAAGTATAGGAAATGCCTTTGAGTTGATCAAGGTTTTGGCTTTTTTTTTTTTTTTTTTAAATCTAGGGACTGTATTCGATGACATCAACAATTCTGGCTGCATTCCCCATCAGCAGTGCTCCTGTGTTTACAATGGCGACACCTACGCTCCGGGAACTTCTTTTTCAGAGCAGTGCTATTCCTGGTAATCTTTGTTACTTTTCTAACTTACTGTTTCCTCTCGTATATTTAATAAGTTTAATGGTTTATTATATGCAATTGCATCATTGGTAAATGATATGTGTATTTAACTGATCGCTACAGTCCAAAATATCCCTAAAGAACATTCTTTGTTTTATTTAGCAACTGCCTTAACTAGCTTTGCACTCTAACTCAAGGTGATCAAAGCAAGGATTTACAATGTTTAGATTTCTCACCAGTCAATTAAAGTGCTTCCTCTTTGCTTATTTTGTTCAAACATTTGGGTTTCTCTAAGGGGAATGAAGTTGCAGTCATTTATGTATTTGCAAATATTTATTTTCTCTGGAGGAAGCAAGGGATGACACAATACAACCTCGATTTCACAACTGTTAATCCTGTACCCATGCACTACCACATCACCTCAGAAAAAAGATATGTTCTACATCAGGAGTAGACGTGGGGTTACATTTCTGTTAGTTTCTCATAGGTTAGTATAATACAACAGAGGAGATTTTCATTTGTCGTTGTGCTTTATCTTAGCTGCAAAAACCAAGCAATTACTCGTCCAGTACCTGTTGCTGGAGTGTTCACCTGTCCAAAGCAGGAAAACAATTAAACAAGCAAAGTGAATGCATACCAGAGTCATTCCTGTCAGTCCTGCACCACACGTTCACAATGTTTTGGGAAGTCTTAAACCTAGATTTACTGTGTGTCAAACTACAGCTTGAAGGAAAAAACAGTAGCAAAGTAGCTGAACCTAACCTCACTGTAATTCCTTTTGCTCTGGACCGCTGCTACTGATTGCAGGTAACTTTATTCTCTCTCTTCCAGTACCTGTAATGGAGGCCAGTGGGGCTGCCAGGACACGTCATGCCCGGGAACATGTTCAGTGGAGGGAGGTTCGCACATCTCCACATATGACAAAAAACATTATGATCACCATGGAGACTGCATTTACGTCCTTTCTAAGGTGGGAATCAGATATTACTAGGTCATAAAGCCTTATACACTTATAGGGAGAAAACACAATCTCAAACAACTCTTTTGAAACATTTTAGGCTTCCTGAGACTCCACATGCATTTAAAATACAAAAATGGGAACAGATATAAATCAGGTTGGCAAGTAAACTGCAGTTTACTTTCTGCATAGGAATATCAAAACTTTAGAAATATGCTATATTAAAAAGTTAAAAAAATAAATGTATCCAGCTGCAGAGCACAGGTATTACATCATTTGTACAAGTACCATACTGCATAGCAGGGTGGGTCTGGACTGTCATTTGTATTATGCTCTAAGAGAACTACCACATCAGTATTCTGCATTTCTGTAGAGCTCATAGCACTTCTGACATTCAGATGTTAAATTGCCTCTCACTTAGGCAGATGTTTGCTAGAACGTATGCTGCCATTCAGATGACAATCATCAGTTAACTATTAGGATGTCATGCAACAGTATGTGGTGTTTACGGGGGAATTTCCCGTTCTGTAATGTAGTAACTGCTGAAAAGCATTGCCTTTTTTTAAGAACTTGCTTATTCTACCTTCTTCAGTGTAATTAATCCAGCTTTCTTACTGAGTTGCATAATTTTGGGCATGTTGCTCTATTATATGGTGTTTGGCCAAATGGTACGAGTCTGAAAAATCACACTAAAAGTTCTGAAAAAAATTTGAATTGCTAAGACTAATGTTTTCATTTATTTTCTGGGAAGTTCAGATACAGAAAATCAGTACCAGTCAGCTGATACATTTAATTTAGATTTGGAACATTTTTAAACAGATTTAAAAATAAGTCAAAAGAAATAGAAAAATTAAAAGTGAAACGTAATCAAAATATTTAATTACAGCAATGTGCAAGTGAAATGTTTTGATCTCCTAGGGGCTTTTTCTTTTTGTTCATTGCTTTCTTTTCTCCACATCTGCACAAGTAATTAAAAAAAAAAGAAAAAGCTGTATGTTACTGTTCTCCTGAAAAATGTTTTAGCTGAAATTTTTGTCTAGTATTGATATGAGCTGCAGGAAGATGAGAGACACAGTAGAAATGAATCAAACATTAGAAGTGGGCATGAATAAAAACTCCTCCACTGATGGATCTCATCAATGAATTGCAGAACCAGATCCTAATTCTCTCCTTGTTCCTAATCATTGCACAAGGCAAAACTGAATCTTAGGCCAAAGAAGGCCTGGGATCTAGAAGAGTCTGGATCTTCTTCAGAAACCGAAATATTTTGTCAGAGTCGAAAGAAAATTTTACAGGGAAAGCTTCTGTAATTAGCCTTCCATGAAATAAATGTTGGTGTTTTTTTCCAGCACTGTGAAGATGAAACATTCGTCATCCTGGTAGAACTACGCAAATGTGGCCTAACAGACACCGAGACATGCTTAAAGACAGTGACCCTCAACGTGAATAGAGGACAAACTGTAAGAATGCAAAATAAGCATGGGAAATGATTATTAAAGATGTGGGAAGCAAAGAAGCTAAGCCTCAGTCAGTCAGGGAACTGCATCTCTCTTTCAAATGGTCAGCAGATGGGATAAGTGTATGTTATTTTTAATCAAGTGAAAAGAAATTGATTTTCTTATGAAAATCAGATCAGCCATAAATTTGACTCTGTGGAAGTTCATTAAGAAAAACATTATACTCACAAAGCAGAAAAAAAGCTATTTTCTCTGCCAATTAAATGGAGAAAACATCAGCTTTTAGGTTAGAAAATACAACAGTAAGGGATGTGATTAATCACAAAGATGTGTTCAGGGAAACCAAGACAATGTAATTCCCTAAGGAGTTGATAAAGTCTCTTTAAAAATAGTTCTTTTATGGCTGGGAAAATTAGTAAAGTGTACGAAGTGGAAAGAGGGAGGAGGTGAAATGAGAAAAATCTACCGTTATTATTTAATACATTATAATCAATATCACTGGAATCGTCACCATTATTACTCTTTAGACTATAGTTATCCTTCACACAGTTGCCTCTTGTTCCTCTTCCTTACCAGCTCATCGAGGTCAAACCTGATGGTGGTGTGTTTGTAAACTCAATCTACACCCAGCTCCCCATCTCAGCAGGTATTTTTTTCTCTAACAGAAATAATCTCTGATTATTTCTAATTATATATATATAAAATATATATTTCTAATTACATTGTCTCTAATAATCTCAGAATTTCAACTCCACATCTGCTTATTATCTTAAACCATGGAAGATAAAAGGACTTTGAGTTGTTCAGAACCTGCATGGTCACACCTCAGTTCTGTTTGGGAGTCGCACAAGTGAAGTAGAAGTGGGAAGTTTGGTGTCATAAAGAAATGAGAGACAAGTGAGATAGGCAAGAGTTCAAACAGAAGCAAACAACATTTACACTCTCCTGATTTGATCACTGTAAGGGTTACTTCCTTCTCACTACCCAAAGTTGAACACAGAAGACATCTGTTTACCTTTTCCCTTTTATTTTTTTCAGTTTATCACCCCTGTGCTCACACTTCCTCAGACAGAAATTTGATTTTTTTTGCTCTCTGTCTCAGTAAGTCTGTGCAGACCTTCAGATCACCTTATTTTCCCTCTCCTGCAGACTGAGGACTCCAATGTATATTGTACAAGCTTAGAAACAAAAGTAGAACTATTCTTCTTTTTAATGCTCAGTGCCATACAGCTTTTCCTTCTCATTTTCTTGCAAGGAGTAATCTCCAACTGCCTAATGTTGAGACAGCACATAAAGTTAAGAACTGGGTAGCTACAGGCAAATTCTGAACTGTAAATTTTCATTTATATTTCTGATTCACTTTCATAAAGATTGGCTTTATTTCAACTCAGAATTTGCAACAGAAATTGAAGAATAGTATAATGATGCACTGTTTCCAGCATTTGACCTCATCTGGAAAGTGATCATTCTGTTTTTCATCTGTAGCTAATGTCACTGTGTTCAGACCTTCATCATTCTTCATCATCATGCAGACAAACTTTGGTGTCCAGATTGAAATACAAATCATACCCATCATGCAAGTGTTTGTGCGACTGGATCCTATTTTCAAAGAGCAGACCTGTGGTAAGTGAATGAAATAGAAGAACGTCTTGTTTAATGTCTTTTGTCTAGTATGAGCAGTATTAACTTTTCACTGCTTTTCAACAGGTCTCTGTGGAAATTTCAATAATATCCAAACTGATGACTTCAAGGTCATTAGTGGAATAATTGAAGGAACAGCAACAGCATTTGCTAACACATGGAAAACACAGGCTTCGTGCCCCAATATCCAGCGCAGTTTTGAGAACCCTTGTGCACTCAGCATTGATAATGGTGCGTGCTTCTTGTAATTTTTTCTGGGTTTTTTTTTTTTGCTCATCCCTAAGGAAAACACATCTGCTGTTAAGCAAAGATAAGAGAATAAAGATTTACATACTTGGTAAAAACATACGTCTGAAATCAGAAACAAATATTCAAAATGAAAGCTCTAGGGATAAGTAACAAAGTAAAGGAAGAGTCATAGAAACATAACCGAAGGAAACCATATGGTCATTGGAAACAGAGAGGATGTCTGAGCTGACGTCTTGGTGTCAGGGAAGAGGATTGCAGGAGTATCTTTGGAAATCTTTCATTCATCCCCTTCAGCAAGTCCTCTTCTTTGGCTTTAGGAACCTTAGCCCACAAGCTGGGTGAAATAAAAAAGGCAGGAGGAGAGATTTGATGTAATTTCAGAACTGGCTTCATAGACCAGGGCAGGGTTTTGTGACTGATGAGATACACAGAGTAACGTGCATTTGTGTTGTTTGTTCTCTTCACAGAAAAATATGCTCAGCACTGGTGTAGACTACTAACTGACAGCAAAGGACCTTTTGCTGATTGTCACTATGCAGTGAATCCCTCTGTTTACCACACGGTACTTTGTTAGACCGTTTTTTCCCTTTAGAACCAATAGAAATAGGATCATTACAACTAGCTACCAGAAAAGGACTGTCCCAGACAGGTCTCATCTTACACAATGCCCATATTTTCATTTCTGTACTGCAGCACTTCCCTCTTTAACACGTGTTTCTCTTTGTGTTGCAACATTAACTTATTTCAGTTGTCAGTCGTGGCTTCAAGATCCTGACTTGCTTGCAAATGAAAAGGCAGTTACTTACTCCTGGATGGATAGACACAAGTAGTAGGTAGTGTATGTAAAGGCATGCCAAAGGCTTGTTTGAGTATCTGTGAGCTGTTGTCTCATCAGCCTCATATCTCATGAGTAATGACTTGGCAGAGAAAGCCATTAGCTAATTATCATAATTCTGCTGTCACTGTGTTGCCAATCTTTCTTCTCATTATGAATCGCCCAGGTATGGCCACCGGCAAGATGACACGTCTAGACTGGGTACTGGGACTGGAGCTTTGCGTGCATCATGCAGCATATTTGTAAATATGGTTCGAAGGAACAGGAAGCTGTTAAACATGTAACAGACTTTAAGATCACTATTTTACAATAATATCTGCAGACATTGGCTGAATTTCCACTACCTTTATTCTCCCCTACCAGGAAACTTAGACAAAGACTAGGGAGTGATAAAGCTATGTTACCGTTGGCTGAGTGAGCATATCTGAAGAAGGATTAGTGCATAAAACCAGAAAGATAACATTCATTTCTTGTTTAGATTGACAATATTACCAGTGCTGAGACTTTATTTTTCTCTGTGTTGTTAGAATTGCATGTTTGACACATGTAACTGTGAAAATAGTGAGAACTGTCTGTGTGCAGCCCTGTCTTCCTATGTGAGAGCTTGCACTGCAAAAGGAATCCATCTGCGTGGATGGAGGACTGATATCTGCTGTAAGTACTCTTAACCATCCCCCTGCCTAAGAACACACGTCAATAAAAACTGCTGATCGGAGATTATTTTATACTGATTTCTAGACCAATATAGTAAGTTTTGAGGAAGGGATTTTGTTAAGTGCACTCCTGGAAGTAATTGTCTGCTGTTCCCTTAGAAGCCATCCATTGCTAGTGAGAGTGAATACGAATGGATGAGAGATATAGCTTGCTTAGGAAAGAGACTTCTCCTGTGCAATTGCCTCCACCTGTTTCTAGGCAACTTTGAATTTCACTGCAGCTTTACGTATCACAAGCTATTGTAGAGAAAATGTGACATATTAGAATAACAGCACTAGTAATGCTAACCAGAACACTTGCAAATGAAAGGTCTCTGAAGCTGCATGCTGGGTTCCACTGATCCAGCAGACCCATTTTCAGCATACCAGGAGACATTCAAGGAGACCTCTTGTCTAGGCAATGAATGGCAGACCCAAATAGAGGTTTCTTTCCAAAAATTAATTTGAAAAAATATTTTCTTCTTTGTATATATCACTTACTCCGTATGTACAGTAGCTTTTCAGGTCTAACTTCAGAAGTATTCAGAAATACACTTACATGAAAGATGCAGCATCGTCAGAGGTGTACAGTATTGTTTACATATTATTTCTACTGCCCACCAGAAACTACCATCTGGAATTAATAAACCTATTCTATTTTCCTCTCTCAAGCAAAATACACCACATCATGTCCCAAATCCCTAAGCTACAGTTATACCATCTCTTCCTGTCAACCCACCTGCCGGTCTCTGAGTGAGCCTGATGTCACATGCAGCACTAAGTTTGTCCCAGTTGATGGCTGCACCTGCATAAGTGGAACCTACATGGATGAAAGTGGCAAATGTGTGCCTGCTAATGAATGCCCCTGCTACTACAGAGGATCTCCCATACCACTTGGAGAAGCTGTCCGTGAAAATGGGGTTGTATGGTAAGGGGACGCCTTCACTTAGCCCATACCTGGGGCTAAACTCTACCACCCAATGACCCCTCTCCAGGTGAGAAGGGGAGTCAGGAAAAGGAGAGGAGATCCAAAGGTTGAAGCAAAGACATATCTAATGCAAAACAAAACAAATGAAGTGTACATAGTTATACTCAGCCTAGACTGTTTAGCCACCACAGTCCTCAGGGCAGTGTGATCAGAAGGAACCCCAACAAAACACAACCCCCCCTCTCCAGCAAACCTTCCCCCTTTATAATGACCTGACATTATGGGATGGGCTACACCTGCAGCTCACTCAGGGCAGCTGCCCTGGCTGACTCTGAACGGCTAACAGCCTGCCCAGCATGGCTGGGCTGGGGTTCTGTCCGAGCCAAACCAGGACAGTGAATCTTTTCCAAAACACTCAAGCAATAGTATCTGTATTTTTCTGTTAAAATCTGCTACTTTTAGACCTCTCTCACCCTGCCTTGCCTGCATTTCAATGCAATACTCTCTCAAATTTTTAACTTTATTCTCAACTTTTAAGAACGGTGCATATTCCCCTGAGATGGAAGACACAGGGAGCAGAATGAAGCCCCCATAATACAAGGGGCAATGGTCAGCCACCTGCTGCACCACTTAGATACACACAAGTCTGTGAGGCCAGATGGGATCCACCAAGGGTACTGCGGGAGCTGGCAGAAGTGCTCACCAAGCCACTTTCCATCATTTACCAGCAGTCCTGCCTAACTGGGGAGGTCCCAGGTGACAGGAGGTTAGCAAATGTGACACCCATCTACAAGAAGGGCCAGAAGGAGGATCTGGGGAACTACAGACCTGTCAGTCTGACCTCGGGAAGCCAGGGAAGGTTATGGAGCAGATCATCTTGAGTGCCATCACACGGCACGTACAGGACAACCAGGTGATGAGGCCCAGTCAGCGTGCGTTTGTGAAAGGCAGGTCCTGTTTGACTGACCGATCTCCTTCTGTGACAAGGTGATGTGCTCAGTGGATGAGGGAAAGGCTGTGGGTGTTGTAAAGCCTTCGACACCATTTCCCACAACATTCTGCTGGAGAAACTGGCTGCTCAGGGCTTGGATGGGCGAACTCTTTGCTGGGTGAAAACTGTTTGGTTGGGCCCAAAGAGGGGTGGGGGATGGAGTTCAATCCAGTTGGTGGCCGGTCACATGTGATGTTCCCCAGGACTCAGTACTGGGCCCAGTCCTGTTTAATATTAATCTTTATCAATGATCTGGATGAGGGGATCAAGTGCATCCTCAGTAAGTTTGCAGATGACACCAAATTGGGCGGGAGTGTGGATCTGCTGGAGGGTAGGAAGGCTCTGCAGAGGGATCTGGACAGGTTGGACCGATGGGCTGAGGCCAATTGCAGGAGGTTCAATAAGGCCAAGTGCCGGGTCCTG